CAGCGATGGTTTGATCGAAGTTTGGCGTCAGACAGTGGTCCGGTGGAACTCCGAGCTTCAAATGGTGGTCTAGCGAAACTTCGAGCCTCAAGTGGTGGTCCAGCATAACTTCGGGCCTCAAGTAGTGGTCCGGCTGAACTTCGGGTCTCAAGTGGTGGTCTGGCGGAACTCCGGCATCAGGTGGTGGTCCGGCGGAACTCCGACATCATGTGATGGTCCGACAGAACTCCGGGCTTCAAGTGGTGGTCCGACAGAACTCCGTGCCTCAAGTGGTGGTCCGATGGAACTTTGGGCCTCAAGTGGCGGTTCGACAAAACTTCGGGCCTCAAGTGATGGTCTGGCGGAACTTCAGGCCTCAAGTGGTGGTCTAGAGGACCTACGACATCAGGTGGTGGTCTGGCAAAACTTCGGGCCTCAAGTGATGGTCCGACAGAACTTTGGGCCTTAAGTGGTGGTCTGGAGGAACGTCGGCGTCAGGTGGTGGTCCGACAGAACTCCAGTGTCAAGTGGGCGTCCGGCGGAACTCCAAGTCTGAAGTGGTGGTCTGACAGAACTTTAGGCCTCAAGTGGTGGTCTGGCGGAACTCCGTGCATCAGGTGGTGGTCCGGTGAAACTCTGGGCATTAAATGGTGGTTTCGTAGAACTCCAGGCCTTAAGTAGTGGTCGATGGAACTCCGGGCATCAGGTGGTGGTCTGATGTAACTCCGGGCATCAGGTGGTGGTCCGGTGTAACTCCGGGCATCAAATGGTGGTCCGGTGGAACTCCAGGCCTCAAATGGTTGTCCGATGGAACTCCATGCCTCAAGTGGTGGTTCGGTGGAACTCCGGACATCAGGTGGTGGTCTGGTGTAACTCCGGGCGTCAAATGGTGGTCTAGCGGAACTCCGGGCCTCAAGTGGTGGTCCGACAGAACTCTGGGTGTCAGGTGTTGGTCCGGTGGAACTCCGGGAGTCAAATGGTGTTCCGGCAGAACTCCGGGCCTCAAGTGATGATCTGGCGGAACTCCAGCGTCAGGTGGTGGTCCGGCGGAACTCTAACGCCATGTGGTGATCCAACGAAACTCCAGGCCTCAAGTGGTGGTTTGGCAGAACTCTGGGCCTCAAGTGGTGGCCCGGCGGAACTCCGGGCGTCAGGTGGTAGTCCGGTGGAACTCTGGGCGTCAAATGGTGGTCTGGCAGAACTCTGGGCCTTAAGTGGTGATCCGGCGAAACTCCGGGCATCAGGTGGTGGTCTGATGGAACTCTAGGCATTAAATGTGGCCCGGCGGAACTCCGGGCTTCAAATGGTGGTCTGGTAGAACTCCGACGTCAGGTGGTGGTCCAGCAGAACTCTGGGCGATGGTCGAGGAGCTAGGGGGAAAGAGCGATCTCCGACCTCTCTCTTGCTCTCTTGCTTATGGGGTACTTTTCAAGAGGAAGGAGGGGTCTATTTATAGATTTTCTAGAGTGTCATGACCCATAAATAGGAGGAAAATCAAAGGTAAATAAGGAGTGGTTTGGATAGACGACCGATGTTGAATCCCTTGATTGTGGATTGTTCGCTAAACATTTGAAAGTCTTAATGATGTCAGAATTTCTTGATCTTGGGCTCGTTGGATTCGTCTCGTCAAGCCACTCGATTCAACTATAACCATGTCACATTTGGAAACTGTTTGGTAATCCAAATTGTGGTTTGAACCTTGCAATAATGCTTCAAGCCCTTGATTTGGACCCATTTGAGCTCGGATTGAGTCGAATTTAGTGTCGTTGGGTTCATATTTTGGAGACGTTTAGTTCGACTATAAGTTGACTGAAATCGGAGTTTGAATGGTCACAATTTTAATTTCTGAAGTTCCAACCTGATTCTGCCTCGAGATTCGTGCTCGATCATGAAAATTTTTGATGATGTATCAACAAACAATCAACCCTTTAATCAATTATATAAATTTTCCATCAAAGCTTTTCAAAATAAAGCTTTAATTAGATTTGAAAATAATTCCAAATCAACAGTATGGAGGGTGGGGAGGCCCCCTATTGAGGGTTAACATTTACGAGTTCTTTCATTAAAAGTATTTTGAGTTCAATTTATTTTTCACTTGCACTAATTTTTCTTTTTAAAAATGGGGTGCCTTCATTATATTGGATCAAAGAAATTTTAGCTATAAAACTCTACCAAAAATATAGTGAACTTTATATTCAAAACAACATAATGTAACCATTAATTGAGCGAACATGCGTAAAGCTATTTATATGTTTTGTGGGTTTATCTTCTGCTTTAATTTTCATTATTTTGCCCTAAGTCATTGAATTAGGCCTTCTCTAATTCTCAACGTATGGTATTACTTGGGTCTTTACCCTACATATATGTACGGCATCTTTTAACTCTATGCATTACAGCTTCAAAAACAAAGGCTGATCTAAAAGATTTGCTCAGACATGAATATCTCGAAAACGAAGATGAATCAAGAATTCACATGGTCTAAAAGATTTGCTCAGACATGAATATCTCTCACAACTTCCCAAAATTCATTATAAAGTATCACAGGTCACTTGGAATTTTCCGTAGAAAATAATGGCTTCAAAATTCCTTTAATTGGAATCTATACCCACCGACGAGAGGAGAAAAATGTTAGCTCTAAAATGAATCCACGCTCAGCAATCAATCACACTAAAAAAAGGAGAAAAAGAGGGTAACAGAGATCGATCCGCGAAATCGATCCGCTCAAACTGATTAAGTCATCACTCAGAACTTTCTGTACTCCCTAACGACTTTCAAATTTCCACCTCAATAATTTACCGTCACCGATATAAAAGAAGAAAAAACCATAACCACCAAACGAATCCATTCCTGTTACCGCGATCTACCGAATAGCCATCGCCATTAAGCGACAACAAATCATGCTAAACCCGGAGAATACGAATAGAAACAGACTCCATCATTCAGTGTTATTAAATCGAAAACAAACATGACTCAATCATACAAATAAAAATAAATGAGGTACGGAAAGCAGATCAGGAGACGATAATACCTGAGGAACAAACAAGAGTGGCGATAGGGACCGATTGGACCTGTCCGGCGGTGAGCCCGGGATCAGCTCCAGCGAGCGCGAGCGGCGTGCACCGCCGCTCCGGTGATTAGCTTCGCCGTCCGATCTCTCATTCGAGTCGTCGCTGCCATTATCTATCTCCTCCTTATCGCTCGCGTTCCCCATCACCACGTCTCAACTAGGATAGTCCGCAGATCCGCTCACAGAGAATTCCGTATTTATAGAGCGAAAGAGCGCGATACGCGAGCTAGCTGGTAATACTTCGTAAATTTATCCGCGAAATGGCGAATGAATTTCGCCGCTGGGCAAAATGGAGACAGGAAAAGGTCGGACTGGTCAGCTGTTTATTTTATGCTGAGCAATAAATGCTAAAATATAGTTACTAATTATCTATTTTAAAAATATAAACAGAAAATGATGCAAAATGGTAAGTCATTTTGTTAATTTTAGATTGAATTTTAATGTCAAAGAATAAAAATATATTATTTTTATGCGTATAAAATATCATTGAACTTTATTTTTTATAATGATTGATTTTTTTTTTATATATAATGATTGATGTCATTGCCTAAGGCTAAAAAAATAATAATATGTTGAATTATAAAAACTAATTAATAAAATATAAATTTAATGCAATTTCTTTATTTTTAAAAATTTATGAAATAAAATTATCATTATAAATTTGGACAAATTTCTCACAAAATTAAATGGTCATTCAATTCATTATTGAACAAATTTTGAATTTTATCTTCTAACAAAAATTATTTAACTCAAACTCACCCGCAATGAAATTGGGAAGAAAATGAATGATGAGTTAAATCATTTTTATGTTATTAAATTAAGAAAAAAACTAAGATAATATGAGCTAACTAAAAAATTTATATTATCAATCTTTTTATGATTTTTATGTTCGAAAAAAGGTTAAGATAATGACTGCATATTGTTTAAAAATGTGATTGCTTTTATAAAATTTGACTATCTATGCCTCATAATATATATATTATTTTTATTGTATATTTATAAAGAGAAATATACCTAAAAGTCTTTTTTTTTTTTAATTTTATCTAATGAGAGAGAACTCTTTAATATTTATAAAATACTTGTTAGACTTGTAAATCATTCAAAATTTTAGTGCTCATTATTTTTTTATTAATTTATTATTAAATCCTAAAAAGTGTATGAGAAATTTTAATATAAATATTTTATATATGCCATAAATTTACAAGTAAAAACTGATATTCTTAAAGTTTAAACTTTAAACATTATTTTTATTAATTATTAAATAAATTGATAAAAAAGTTCACTAGAAAAAAAAAATAGAAATATATTAAAATTTATAAATCTAGAGAAACCTGTAAATCAGCCATAATTATTTTTTATTGAAAACAAAAAAACTACAATATCAGCAATTCAGAACACTCCAAAAATTATTATTTTCTCCCAATAATGATGCAACAGTTTCTCCAAACAGAACCTGCAGCATAATTAAACGTTATTGTACTATTATATATTTACGCCCCTAAAAAAGTCGAACAAATTTCTTAACTGCAACAATTAGATGTTAAAAAGCTCATCATCATTAATTCTTTTAAAAATAATACGTCAAATATAAGAAAAATTTTTATGTTGGCTAAAAATAGCCTCTATATAAGAGAATTTATTCTACATGAAATGCGGACCGAAAGAACCGTCTGGACTGTAAGTGTATACATAATATATATAAAAATTTGATACAATACATAATATACACTCACATATTCAGATGGTTCTTTCCATCCGGACTCCACACCGAATAATTTCTCCCTATACAAACCCCAACAAGGCCAAGAAGTGCAAATTAATGTTGGCTAAGCAAATCATCTTCTGAAGGTTGCCAGCCATATCAGCTTTTTGAGCACGAGGTAATGTTAGAACACACAAAAACGCCGAATAACCAGCAAAAAACACAAAAAAAATAGAGCAGTAGGACACTAGAGAATTAAAAAGAGTTGATTCTGCTACTTATTCAGGCACCAAAGCATGAGAACGAGCCCACACATTGTTCAGCTACTCAGTACAAAGTTGAAGAAACGTAAAACGCATTTACATTATACGATATAGAATTCGAACAATACTTAGTATAATGATGGCCTTTAGCCAATTTGTAATATCACCTTCTTAGCAGTTTGTATCATAGGAGGCAAGCCCCAACAATTCTGGGCCTTCCAAACGGGGGTTGTTCTCAAAGCTGCACGGAGAAATAAATTTTTAAAATGTTGCAGTACAGTAACAAGTTCTAACTAGAACTCAATAAAAAACAATTAAAATTTAGGAGACATAATATGAAATCATTGAAGGATAGAAAATCATTAGAAATAACTCTATACTTAAATCCTTAATTTCTAAGATTATTAATATTTGTGTTAAATAAATTGGCTCATAAGACCAAGTCAAGTTGGTGCTAGTTCAAACTTTGATTCCCTGGCACATAGAGTTAGACTCACAAGTCCACTTCACTCTTATACACTCCTACACAGATGAACATCTTATACTACAACAACAACATCATCATCAAGTCTTTGTCCCACTATGTGGGGTCGGCTAGATGAATCCTTTTTCTCCATTGTGTCATGTTAAAAATCAAATTCTCGTTTAAATCTAATAAAGATAGATCATTTCTAATATTTTCTAACCAAGTCTTTTTAGATCTACCTCTACCTTTCTTAACATAAGTCAAATCTAATACCTCTAATTTCCTAACCGGGTCATCGGAAGGCCGCTGTTTTATGCGGCCAAGCCATCTAAGACAACTCTCTGTAATGTTATCTTCTACTGGAGCTACTCCAACCTTTTGATGTATATGCTCATTTCATATCCTATCTCTAAGGGTAAAGCCACTCATCCACCTAAGCATCCTCTTCTCTGCAACACTGAACTTAGTATTATGCTTCTCTTTTAATGGCCAACATTCGGTATCATAAAGCATTGCAGGTCCCACCACCATCTTATAGAATTTTCCCTTAAGTTTGAGGGGTACTTTTCTATCACACAACAAGCATCATGAACATCTTATAAAAGGGGCAAAACAGGGACATACTTGTTCAAGGGGATGCGTTCAAAAGGTCCAATAGTAGGAATGGTGCCACAAAGATCATTGTTTGAGACGTCTCTGGAAGAATCAGCAAATAAATAATTATGATTGTTAGCTCGGAAAAGTAATTAAATCCTAATATAATTTGATGTTCAAAGTGAGTACTCACAAAACTTTGAGGCTGGATATTGCAGTTAGCTCTCTTGGGATTCTACCATTTAGTTTGTTGTCATTAAGCCGCCTAGAAAATAACACACATCAAATATCACTGAAACTTACAAAAAAAAAAAAAGGTCCAAAGCTTACAAATACACTGCATAAAAGTAAAAACATCTAATTTGTCAAGTGAACCCAATAAAATACATAAAAAATTTAATTCTACATTGTATGCATTGAATTAAATGCATTAAGGCTTAAAATGAAATTGTTGCTTGGATGGCTGAATTTTTTACTCACAGGAATACTAGAGATTTTAGTTTCCCCAACTGCGCAGGAATAGTCCCTGAGATGTTGTTGTTGTATAAGTCTAAACTTATAAGGCTCTTTAAGTTGCCAAGCTCTGCAGGGATGGTTCCATGAATGTTATTTTTATACAATTCTCTGGAAAAGAAAATTGTAGAATTAGCTTTAAATAGAAAATCAGTAGTTCATCAATAAACTTGGAAATATAAAGCACTAAGTATGACAAAAAAAATGAAGAAGTTGCATGAAAAGGTCATCATAATTATAATCCAAATGTTACAAGTTTCTGCCAATTGACTGCTAATGATAAATAGTTCCAAAATACTTGTTCAAGGACAAACAGAATGTATTGAGAGTAAAAACTCTATTGAAAAAAAAAAAGGACTACAGAATGTGACCTCTCACCGAGCTTCACCACTTCAATGGGATCAAATCCATCATATCCTATATAATGGGAATTTACAGACCTTTAAACTCGCCAAAACCGTAAGCAGCTAAAGTAAAAGTCTTACAATCTGACACTGTCAAACTTCTAAATTGTAATGTCCCAAAGATTTTACTGAGGTATGTTAATTTCCATTTTAATGTTCACAAAACAACAGTAACTAGACATGAATATGGAACCATACATAAAAAGTATGTAAAATAAGTCGGTGTACTAATTGTTTATTTTTTGTAACATAGCTCAGCTTCTCATATGGCATAATAAATGATACTGTTAAGTTGCATCACTAAGTCTATCTTAGAAAATATATCTCACTAAATTCTATAATCATTTGATAGCTGCTCATATTCTAGTTATGTTCCCATAAAAAGTTTCTTCTAAACAACTCTTAGAAAAATTATTGGCTCTGGAAAGCATTTTTCTTCAATTAACATATTAGAATTATTAGATTAATAAAAGTGAAAGCCTGTAGCAAAGATTGGTAGCCATTATTGTTACTAAAAGGTCATAGATTTGAATCACAAAAATGACATATCTTATTCAAAAGGCACGACGTGTATAAATCCTCCCAAATGTCCTTCTACTGTTGGGAGATTCATGATGCCCTTATGATCTCATTTACAAACTGAAGCCATACTTTTTGAAAATTAACACATGAGGTGGTTAAATCACATAAGAGTGTTGGGTTGGTGTTACATCAGATGGGTAAACAAATATATAAGATCAAGATTGTAGCACCATGGTATTGAATCACTCCTTTATTTATTTAATTTTTTGCCACCAGATCTTAACCGATTTTATTTAAAAAATCCGGGTGTTGTCACAATTTTGTTCTGTTTTAGGAACGATACCATGAAAAGTTTGTGGGTTCCTATTCATGAGGATTTTGATGGATTGGTGGCTGAGCCAGTGGGCCCCATTAGAGTGGGCAGCGGGTAAGAAGAGAGGGGGAATCGTTTAGGAAAGTTTGAATTACAATTGAGAGGAAATTAATTAGGGAAAGAAATCTAATTTGAATTCAAATCTGAGAGGAAATTATATAGGGAAGGACAGAGTGAGTTAATATTCATTATGTGAAGAGGAAAATCAATGGGGAATTGTTCAAGAAAATTTTAATTACAATTGGGAGGGAATTAATTAGGGAAACAGATCTAAATTTGAATTCAAATCTCATAGGAAATTATTTAGGAAAATAGGGCTGATTTGTGAGGGAATTATGGGAGCCTATTTAAGGCTAACTATGGGGTGATTTTAGATTATGCTTGATTTTGCTGGAATTAGTTTGCTTAGGTTGAGCTGACAACTAGGGATTTAGGAGAGCCGAATCTTTCTCTCCAATTGAGGATCCAATGTATCTTGTGTTTTTCTTCTTAGTTCTTTCAAAAAAAAAAAAAAGAGTTTGTTTGTTCTTCCAAACTTTCTTGTGTCATTCTCTGATTTTGCTAAAATTGCATTCACTTCCTATCAGGTTTCGTAAGTTTTGGGCAAGTAAAATGAAAGTATTAGATAGGTGAAAAAATAAAATGTTGGATCGTAAGGGATTGAAGCACTCCTTTTTTATTCCTTTTTTACACTGGATATTGACTAAATTTATGTGAAGTATCAAGGTTTAATATTCCTATCACTATGGTTTTCATGCCTACTACTAGTTTCTATGCCTACCACTAAAACTTGCTCTTGAAGTACTCAGCTAGTATGATTTCTGTCACTACCTACAATTACGGTACAATTGCTGAACAAAGTTTCTAGGTCCATATTCATAAGAATTTCATGAGACTTATTTAATAAAGTGATAGAGACCACTTGAATATTCCAAGTGATTCCTATCGGATCTTCGTCAAAACACAATTATTCTGCTGTTTTCAATAGAAAACAGCCACCAAACAATGGAAAATCTGAGAAACTAGGGAGAAAACGTTGGGAAAACAATAGTAACAATTGTATTCCACTAGTAGACAAACAAAACCAAAGCAAGATACAATGTTCTTCAATTCGAGAGGAAGAACAACTCTCCAACAATCTCCGGCAACGCCAAGAGCCCAAGCAAGAAAACCTAGAAGACAAAACTAGCAAGATACAATTGATCCTCAATTCGAGAGGAGGATCGATCTCTCCCAAATCTCTGGCAACGCCAAGAGCCCAAAGAAAACCTAAATCTAAGAGATCTCAAATTTCCGCCAAATTCAAGATACTCAAACCCTAGCCAAATCAACTATTTAATGCACACAAATCAAAAGGAATTCCCTAAACAATCCCTACGTTCAAATTTCCCTCTCAAAACGCTAATAAAAAACTTCCTAAACGGCTCTACGGGGGTGGACGGCCGCTAGTTCTCCGCCTGTTCGCAATTTTCGCCCGTGAACCGGTCCCGCCTGGACCGGTCTAACAGAATGTTAGATTACGAGTTTGAAGGCTGTCTAGAATCAGATAGAGCTAAATCTTATTCCAAACATATCTGCTAACATAGGAATAAAGAGTTTATAAATAGATGTTCTTAGGCATGTAATTCTTCATTCAATTTGTAATCCTGTGCTTGAAAGGGGGATCTATGATCCCTTTGATTGTGATAAAAATATGGGTACCTAATTTCAAGGAAAATTATCTCCATGTATTGGTGTAAGACCAAAATTTCTTTGATAACTTATTTTCTTGACGTAATGCCATCAACATTTGTTCGAGTTTAACAAAACTAAGAATCTATTTACTCAATTGTTTACTAATTTTATGTGGTTTAAATTTCTTGTTGATTTCCAAAGACATTCCATCATTACTTTATCATTTGGATTTTAATTCTTGTATTTATTGTTTTCACTAAAATAAATAAATAAATCAATCAAGTTGTTGGAGTATTTAGTGATTTTTAACTACAAATCATAATTTCCCTTGCATGATTTACATATAGCACATCATTATAGTTTGCATTAAAATTTATAACCCTAAATCATTCTGCTTCAATATGTGATGTATAAATAGTTGGCATTCACCATAGGGCATAGGCTACACATTTTGGGCTTAAAATGAGTATGACTACTACTTACAAGCCCAACTTTGACCCTCATTTTGTTCACTAATCCCTTAACAAGTGATATCTATGCCGAATCAACTGTTCTTGGACACTTTCTACCGTAGCTAAGCAAAGTTTAAAAGCAGATAAGTCCTATGTCACCACCATGTGATCAGTTGAGTTCTCTTGGTGCAAAATATTTAATGATATTTAAAAAATTTCATTTGAGGGTATATGATGACCAATTTAGCAAGCAATCATGTAAGAGGGAGATTGTTGAGGCATGTGAGAGTATGTAGAAATGTCAGGTAAGTGGCTCTCACTCATAGATTTAGGCTTTGTTTGTGATAGCTTTCTTACTACTTTTATAGAAGTTTTATAGCATAAAAATTTCTAGTTCGAAAACTTTTTGTACTAAAAAATTGCTTTAGAAAGCAGTAAAAAAGCTATCCCAAATGAAGCCTTAAGCTTCTAGTTAAAAATTAATTTGAATGTGGGTGTATCAGACCTAATTTGATCTCCCTAGTTTTGCGCATTCCCTCAAAGTGGTCCATCAAGGATACAAGGATTGCATGTTTTAAAAATGTCCTTATACTTTGGATAACTACAATTGCAATTTTGACATAAAAAGATAGCATTGATCAGCATTTTTTGGAAAATATTCAAGGTAGAAATCAAGAAACTAAATGAAAAAAGATACTTACAGGTATTGCAAATGTTCAAGTTTTGCAATATCAGATACAAGGTGGCCAGATAAGTTTGAATTCCCCAGGTCCCTGCAGCATGATATAATCGATTAGCAGTTCATTCACGACTTCTTAGTCACTGGTAACAATTTCACAAAAATCAGCAAAAAATATATTTAAATTGATGGACAACATAAGTTTATCTTTAATGACTGAAATGCCTAAATATTTAGCTGCCAATGCATCAAATATGTCATTTTTCTCTTAGGTGATCGATTCTTCATGGCAGCAAATATGAATGTTTCTTCAACAACTGAAAAAAGGAGTTAAACAGCCGTTCAGTGAGTTGATAAAATGTAGGGGAATCAGATGACGAGCCTGCAGAAACTAAGGATGTGAAATAAAACAAGACTGGCACATTTATTCTTTGATCGCTTTTTTTTTCCAAAAAATTGATGCAATATAAATTCATGCAACAAATGTTCACCATGGCGACCTAACAAGGCCTGCATTGCAAAGGTAAGCTAAAAAGAACCCTCGTGAAAATGTAGATTTATCAACCACTAGCCTAAATGGAAGAAACATAAGTGAAAATGAGGGGACAACAAAGAAAACAAGATAACATAGGTAACATCAAGTAATTGCTCAAAGGGTTCAGTTTGAATCATCACAAAATACATCTGCTAAAAAATCAGCGGCAAACTATATTTTAAAAACCGACACCCAAAGTTTAGGGTAATGCTGATATGGTTGGTTTTAGAATAACCTTGACCATATTTACAGTCACAACCAAGTAGAAGATCGTGTAAGCAAATAAGAATAGCTCACAATTGACAAAAAAGAGGCATCATCATCGCTATCCTTATCCGACTATTTGGGGTTGGCGTTATAAATCCTCATTTTCCAATCATTCCTGTTGAGTGCTATATGAGCCATTAAACCTACCTTTCACAAAGCATTTTGAAAATATATCAATGTAACCTTAAGTTTACTCATTTTTCTTCATAATCATCTGAGAATAATTCTGTCAACTAGCATAAGGGGGTAATTTTTTACCTTTTATTATAAATGTCCATACCAACTACTTTATGTTCAAAAAATATCACTCTGAGATTTTCTCTAATTTAATCTTAATTTATTCTTCCAAGATTTGAATCACATCACCCTTAACATCCTCATTTTTACCACACTCAATCTAGATATCCTTGACTTTTTCCAACCATAGTATGCTATTATCATACAAAACTCCCAATATAGTTCTCCATTTTTAATCACGTCATGTATAGCTTTCTCATGTAGACTTCGAACCTTCGACCACGATCACTTCACCCGAGTACGATCCCAAACCATCGTCGCCTAACTATGGTCCTCAAATAATCATAGCCCAACTTCGATCTTCCAACCACCATCGCTCAACTTTGGTCCTTCAATCACCATTGCCTAATTATGATGTCGGATGCCCCACCATTGTCATCAAAATAAAGTCCCTCGACCACTATTGCCCAACTAAAGTCCTTAGAACATCTTCATCAAACTAAGGTCCTCTAGCCACCATCACTCAATGACAATCTCCTGATCACACCATCATTTGACTATAATCCTCCAACCACCATCGTCCGATTACAATCTTTTGACCACCACCATCAGCCTACAATCCTCCGACCACTGTCATCTGACTATAATCCCTCAAGCACAATCACCTAACTAAAATCTTCTTAACTGTCATCTTGACTATAATTCTCTAGCCTCCATCATTTGACTATAATCCTCCAACTAGCTTCACTCAATTATAATCACTTGACCTCTATCACCCAATTATGATTCTCCAATCACCATTACCTAATTACAATCCTCCAACCAATGCCTTCTGACTTTGATCCTCCCACAATCACCTGATTACAATCCCTCGAACATTATTTCCTGACTACAGTCATATGATAACCGCTACCCGACGATAGTCTTTCAACCACCATTGCCCAGCGATGGTACTTCGACAACAATTACCCAACGATTGTCCTTCAACAACCATCGTATGGCTACAATCCTTTAATTATCATTGTCCGACTATACCCTCCCGACTACTATCACCCAACTAGACTCCTCAAGCCATCGTTGCTAGCCCTTGGCCTATCGCCCGAAAAAAAAAAAAATCTGTCGACCAACATCGTCCAAATACGATTCTCCAACTATCATTGCCCGACTATCGTCCTTCAACCACCATCGCCTAACTACGTTCTAATGCGGAGCATTTTAGCTTGAAAGGTTTCTTATGACATCATATGTAGTTTGTTACAAATTTGTTTCATGAATTGTAGAATCTTCTAGGTTTATCTAGGTTTCTCTACTTAAGTATTATATATAGTATGACGTAAGGAAGGAGGAGCATTGATGAATATTATATGAATTGAATCTTAGTGCTTGGTTTATTCTCGTATTCTTAGAAATCCTTCAAGCATCCTCTTCTTCCAACGATCCAACAATTATCCCCCACATCACGTTCTTTCAACCACTCTCTTCAAACCACAATCCTCCAATCATTGTTGCCTGACTGCAGCACTCTAGATGCCATCTCCTGTCTATAGCTCTGAACATCGTCATTCAATAACAATCCTCTAACCGCAATTGCACTATTATCCATTGACTTCGAACCCCATTTTTTTCAACAACATTGATGCACACAATCATCCATAAGTTTGATGCATGTCGTCATCACAAAGGCCACCTCCTGCCAACTTTGTCGCCACCAAAATCGACGAATATCATTGTTTATAAGATTGATGAACATTGTATACGCCAACTCTAACTCCTGACACCAATATCATGATTTATACTATACTTATTGGTCTTTGATCTACCCTCTTCGAAGGAGAATGACCGAGCAAACAATAAACAATCTCTTAAAATTAATTCCCATGCCACATGACTCTTTCAACTTCCATCATAAATTCATTTTATGCAATTTATATCTACTATATTGTATGAACATACTGCCCAATCACACAATAACATTATTTGTAACAAATGAAAAAATACTATTACAATTATTTCAACTGAATTAGATCATGTGATTTTTCTCTTTCTTAAATTTTCATGTAAAAATTATCATGTCTCTTGCAACTTCACTTATATATATATATATATATATATATATATATATATATATATATATATGTCATGGATCTCAGAATAAAGTTAAAGACATTATATACTTCCACTCTACCTCCATGAACATTCTAGCATGCAACAAGAATATATTCTTCAACGCCCTCAATCAAATCCCACAAACCAAATATCTATAGAACACAACAGTTCATTCAGAGCAAAGCTCATCTCTCTTTTAAAACAACAATACGAATAGGAGAGATATAAACAAACTCAGACATAGACGAAGAGTAAGAATTTCATTCTTTAGCATCAGCAAGAAACAAATCACCAAAAAAATAAAAATCTATCAAAAAGAAAACAGAACCAACAACTATTTCTAACAAATAATTAAAGGGGACCAAAAGGATGAGCAGGCATACACTCTTGTGACCCGATTGTCCTGATTGCAGGTAATATGAAACCAAGTGCAGGGGTTGACAAGCGTCGGATCCCAGCTCATCAGCACGTTATCCGGATCGTTGAGGCTCTTTCGTAGGGTGTACAGCGCGTCGCCCTCGGAGTTGGACGAAGTCGATGGCGAAAGCAGCGTCAGCATCACCGCAGCCAGCGCCAGGACTCGGGCTACGAAACCGCCAGATAAACCCATCGCCCCTCCGTAGAACAGAAGTAGCTTCTTCCTTCAATTAGGGTTAGGGTTACGAGCAATCGTTTCCTCGACACTGGTCCAGGAGGAAGAAAGTTAGTGGAGGATTGGGGGGAAAAGCGTGACCCTTCTGCGAAAGCGGACTTTGACTCATTTTGTAGAAAGCATGAGATTTCTGGTGTTCCGCGAAGCCGTTTTTGATTAAGCGGTGTCCGAAAACGAGTAGTTGAATGGAATAATTGACTAACGGGCTTGACTAAAATCGTATGTAAAGTCGACACGTGGATAAGTCCAAGTCGTCTAATGTGCAGCACTGCAGCAGTGGAAGTTTATGCTTAGGCCGATGAGGACCGGGTCCGGTTGAAATAAATTAAAGATTATCTTTTGGGAGATTTACATAAATACCACTTTATTTTATGATATTTATCTATCTAATATCTAAAATTTTATATGCACCTCTAAAAAATAGACACTCATATCAAATAAACCTCATTTGAGTTGATATATCAAATAGGAGAAAGTTATCATTATCTATCTCTTTTAACATTGTTTACATAGTATTTATAGACCTAAGCTATACAACATTGAATGCACATAATATTTCATTTGAGAATTTGAACACGCCTTCTGTCCACTTGTATGAGTGTTGTGGATTCGGTAGCGTATTGTAGCAGCTTTTGAATTGAGTTGTTTACTACTTTATACAGGTAGACTGTCCTGCACTACTTGCATGATTTATACAGGTAGATTGTAGTGCACTAACGAATCTCCTGCTTTTTGGATATAGGTGAATCATAGCGTTGTCACATGATTGCAATGAGATACCTCATTATTCTGATGTAAAACTCCCTTTTCTCGTTCACCGGGAGATCCTTCTTGACATTCGTGGCCATTGCTTTGAAAAGAACTCCTTTCAGGATCTTTAGCGTAATAGACTCTGCATAGTTGGCCTTCAAAATGGATAGATGTATATAGGTGCATTTGTTATTTCCAGTGTTCATGGATGCCAAAATTGTTTTCTTCCTGAGTATAAGACCAATAAGAAACATCAATAGCTCATATTACAAGATATTCATTTAACGGTGGAGATAACACATGATGGTTAACATAAACCTCCTAGGACATATGTTGATCTTTTGAAAAATGCCAAATTAGTCAAACTTGTAAAGGTGGAGCTCAAAATATAGGGTTTTACATGCCACTATTGGTTCCTAACTCAATTAGCCTAAAATTGAACATGAAGTAGAACCATGGCTCATTTTATTATAGGTTAGAAAATGATGGACATCATTAATACGACTTGTTTTTTTCAAAGATATAGTGTGTTTACATGATCTTTCAAAGAATTTAATCTTGAATTTCAATGCTAAATCCATGATATATTTTTAGAAAGAATTATTAATCCGACTTGATACTAAACTTTGTGTCACATGCCATCCACAAATGGATGGTTAAACTAAGGTGATAAATTGCATATACTTCTATGACCAAATTAGGGGTGCAAACGAGTCGAGTCGAGCTCGAGTTAGTGTGTGTTTGAGCTGAGCTTGACTATCAAATATAGAGCTCGAGCTTGAGCTCGACTCAGCACGGGAAAATGAGCTCATTGAGTCGCACTTCAAGCATGTTAACAGCCCCGCATTAACGCCTGTGTCGTCCGCTTGCATCAGCGCCTGAGTAGTCCGCATTTTCCCGTCGATTATGCATCGTCCGCGAGTTCAACTATTTCAGGAGGGGAGAGAAACGGATGCTCTAAGATATTCAAAGGACAAATATTAGCTCACCTTTGGCGTTTGCGGTGGTGGCTTTGACGTTGGCGCCGGCGATGCGGGTGAACCGAGCGGGATGCTTCGAAGTCGCTCGCAAGGTGAACCGAGCGAGATGCTTCAACGTCGCTCGCGGTGGTGGATTTGACATCTCGGCCTATTAACGTCAGCATCGGCGATCAGGTGAATCGCTTCCCAGGAGTACGTCGCTTGCGAGAGCTTGTGTCAGCGGAGGAGCAAGGAGAGCTATCCAAAATGAAGGCTTAGGAACCGAACCAGAAGCTCTCTAGCAATATCTTCATCTTGGTATGAAGTCTGAACAAGCTGCGACTTTCATTTTCCCGTGGTTTCATTTTTCATGAGTCCGCTGAAATTGCTCTAATACCAATTGAAATTACTAGATGCGCCAAGAGGGGGGTGAATTGGATGATTAAGAACTTCTTTACTGAAAAGAAATATCTTTTTATGACTTTATGCGGAAGCGAATTTCATTCATAATAAAACGATATGTAATCAATTTCATCCACGCAATAACTCACAATAAAAATAAATGCGGAAATAAAGTGCAAAAAAAATAATGGAAAGAACACACCAATTTATAGTGGTTCGGTCAAACCATGACCTACGTCCACTCCCCGGAGGCACCCTCCGAGTATTACACTAAACCTTTAGTGATTCTCCTTTAGCTCCCACAGCTAGACGGAGAAGCCCTTACACAATCACTTACACCTTCCCCGGTGCGGCGGAGGAGCCGGGTCCTTTGACACCAATGAGATCTTCTTCTTCCCAAAACTTCCTTCAAAACGAACCTTGAATCCGATGGTACTGAGGTGCAAGCTTGCCGGAGCAACCGTGTGATCTCCTTCACACTCCCTTGAAACCACCTTCAAGGTTCTTCTCCCTCTCTCAAACTTCACCCTTTCCTCTCCTTATTCAAGTCCTCTCTTCAAGTTCTCCAAAAGAATGAGACACAATGGCTGCAAAGACTCTTACAAAGTCTTATGAGAGTACTTAATAGAGGGATAAAAAAACCATAAAAAAATACTCAATTCAGCCGTTACTATCGTACATAGACGGTTCTACAATCGTACAGTACGATCTTCTAAAATAGACTTCGTCCTGGTACGAAGTGGTTACGAACAGTTCAAAAATGTTCGTACAGTACGATACTAAATCGTTACTGTACGATCCATGACAACACAGTTCGTACAAGACGATAGTCGGGACGATTAAACATCGTCTCTGTTCATCGTATGGTACGATGATAAATTCATACAGTACGATGAGACAAAAAACAACTAATCGTCTGCTCGTGACGATTATATATTCGTCTCTGTTTATCGTATTGTACGAATGGTTCGTACAGTACGAGTTCAAATTATAATTAAGCCCGGATTTCTTCACACTAACTCAATCAAGGTTAAGTTAAGTAAGTGTTTAAAAACGTACATTACGACTCTTGTTCGTATAGTGCGATCGGCGGGGAAAACATCTTACTTAAGTTTATTAAACGGATGTTAGTTTTGGCTTTTTGAACATTTCGTATAGTACGAATATATTCGTACGGTACGATCTATTCACGGAATCGTCGGTACAACCCTCTGATCTGACGGTACGAATTATCATCATACAGTACGATTTACAGAGAAGAAATTCTATTACATTCTCATTTAAAACCTCTCCCCTGTGTGTGTGTCACGACCCGACCCGATCCGGGACAGATCCGCTCGCACCGGTCGCGGAAACGGAAACAAACAAACTGACTGACGGATCTGGCGTTGGAATTGCTTACTGAACTAATCTTCCAAATTATTTCAACTCAAAAAACCAACTCACAGAACAGACCAGAGCTACTATGAATCATCAAATGCAGCGGAACAAATCATCTATATTTTTCTTTCTTTTCCTCAAACATCATCTACAAATATGGTACATGGCTAACAGAAGAAATACAGAGAAAAGTCATGACCGTACAAAAATTAAAAGTACAAAAGTATCATCACAGATCAGACTCTGAACTCTACGTCCTGGACTTCCTTCCCTTTCCCAGAACCTGAAAACCACAGAAAATGAGAGTGAGCTCAACAGCTCAGCAAAGCAACAAACCACCATATCAAAACTTCCAGAATCCAAAACCAAACACATCAGACCCAAATCCAAATCAGAAACCAAAACAGAATCAGACAGATATCGGAATCTTCGTACAGAAATCATAATCGGACAGTTCATAACAAAACAGATCAAATCAAAACAGAACGGACATAGCAAATCAAAATCAGATCGGAACTGAAACAGACATATATCAAATCAGAAACAGGATCAGAACGGAACAGATCAGAACAAACAGATATCAGATATCAGATATATAATTATAGCTAAATTCCCTGACACTGACTGAATCTCATAGGATCCAGACCCCTTATGTCTCCCTTTGTGCTCACGGCCACCAGAAACAGATGTGCTTATCGCACCAGAATACATATATAATATGCGTTATAGCACCTAAACAGATTTCTCGGATCCAGAGCAGAACAGAATTCAGATGAGCTCATTTCAGATTTTCCAGACACTAACTGAATCTCATAGGATCCAGGCCCCTTATAACTCCCTTTGTATAGCATATACAAATAGCATATCAATTCAGAGAAATCCAGACAAAATCAGAAATCAGACAAAAAATCGGGCAGCACCAAAGGCAGATACGGAATTTACATTAATTTTTCCTGAAAATTACAATTTACCCAATTCGTACATAATGTAGATAATAAACATTTCAAGAACATTATTCTACTGCACAGACGATTTTCAATTACACAGAAAAATCCAGTCGACTAAAAACTCTGTTGAATCAAAAAATACCCGACAAAAATCTTCAAAATATAGTCAAAACGTGCACACCCGGCAACCTATAGTAACAAAACAGTGCACCCGCCGCCTACAGTGTACGGGTAAAACTGAACCAATCAACAGATACGGACGGAAAATCGCTAAACGCGGAAACAAAATCCGGACAGAAAATACCGTCAAACACGACGGTTCTGAAAATTGAGAAAGGCGGAATGTGCCTTACCTTGCGTACAGCAATTTCCTGAACAGTCTATTCGGACGAAAACAGCTCCGCGTCGTCCGAAAATCCACTTTTCCAAAAGATTCCTCGACTTTCTCTCTCCTCAAAAGATATTTTCGTTTTTAATAAATTTTCTCTCTCTCTCTTCAAAAAGACTGATTTCAGCTTTATAAAACTCAGATCGGCCCGGCCGATCGCCAGATCGTCCCAGGACGATCAGACCAAATTTGATCATCCTGGACGGTTCCCAGGACTATTCTCCGGCCGATATTTTGAACAGTGCACATCGGCCTGGCCGATGCCTCAAT